CTTCACCCTCCACTTTTTTTTGGTCTCTTCTTTTCCTTTGGCCTCCCACTTTATTTTGGCCTCCTGCCCTTTTCAGCCTCTGCATTTCTCTCAGTTTCTTGGCCCTCCACCCTTTTGCAGCCTCAATTTTTTCTGTCCTTGTTTTTATTTCTGATCAACCATTTTTTTCTCTTGCACTCCTCAACCTTTACTGTTTTTTCTCCAATCTGACTCCACTTCTTTTCCAGACTCCTTCTTGCCTTTAGCCTCCATTCCTTTTTCAGCCTCCCCTGCTTGTTCCATCTCCTTTTTTTTCTTTTTTTGCCCCTTCTTTACTGGCCTCAAAACACATTAGCACTTGCACTGCACCTTACAAACCCTTTTAGTAAATATTCCCTGAAAATAAAGGATATTCCATGGCGGTCAAGGCTGCCCTGACTCCCAGGCTGCCCCTGGGTACCAGCACCTCTCCCTCCYGGGCACAGCGGGCACTGACTCACGGCTGGGGCATTTTTAGGAATCCTGTGCACATTGTCTGGCAGTGTCAGGGATTATCCAGGGGGYTGGAGGCCTGGCTGGGTCTGTCTTTCAAACAGAAACCTCACAATAGAAATCTCTCTGCAGAAAAATTGGTTGAAAACCAGTTCAGCAAGGCATGGTGGCTTTGCCATGGTCTGTGCTGTGGATTCAGAAATCCCCCCTCTCCCCCTCTGTCTTAACCCTCACAGTGCCAGGGTTGCTATTTAGGAATTCCCTTCAAGAACAGCCAATACACAGCCAGTGCTAATTAATGTTCCAATAACTGCAGCACAGCATCATAACCCACACCCTGCCCCCTGTTTTAACGAGGTAACAAACCCCATTATTCTGATCTAAACTCAGCATTGAGCTCAGAAGAGCCCTGTTCCCCTTGTGTTTGGTTTGAAGCCCCCAGACTCTCCCCTGGCCTGGGAAGGCAGTGATTCCTCAGTTTCCCCAGAGGCTGCTGGGGAAAGGGCCGAGCTGAGATCCCACAGACAGCCCCACCAAAGCCTGGCAGCTGTCCCTGAGGACAGGGCACAAAGGGGTGTCCCAGGGTGTGGGAGCCAGGCTGGCTGCTGTGCCAGGCACCTCTGACTCATGGCCTGACATCCCAAACCCTTTTGTCCCCTCCAGACTCCTTTGGGTGCCCCAAGCCATCCTCCAAGGATTTGTCTGCTGCCCAGGGCAGTGTGGGCACAGCTCACCCATGGCTCACAGCCCTCTGTCCTTGCTCCTGGCTCCATAAAACCCCCCTGGCCAGGCAGAGGGCACAGCAACTGCTGATCCCCAACTCTGCCTGGTTGTCCCACAATTTTTGGTTTTGTTAGGAGTTTTTTCCATTCAGACAATCCAGGACAATCTCYCTGTCTCAGTCACCACAAGCAGAGCAGCTGTGGCTGCCCCTGGATCCCTGGCAGTGTCCAAGGCCAGGTTGGACGGGGTTTGGAGCCACCAGGGCTGTCCCCAGCCCTCCCCTAACGCAGCTGTGCAAACAGCGGGCACGGCAAACGCCGCCGTGGCTCTGAACTGCCCACTCGGGAGCTGCAAATAGCCCATGGGTGCCACCTCGGCTGTTGTTGACATTGCAGCCGTGTCCTGCTCCGTGYCCTTGGCTGTTTACGGGGATGGGACAGGGCTCTGCTGTCCTGAGCRCTGTGGAGCACTGCCTGTCCCTGCTGCTGTCACCCATCCCTGCTGTGGTCACACTGCCACGGCGAGGAGCAAACAGGTGCCGGGCTCTGCAGGGACTCTGTTGTGCCAGTGTGGCCAGTCTGGCACAGCAGGAGCAGAATCAGGGTCGGGCAGGTCCTGGTGGGCGACTGACGCTCCCCCCTGGGCCACAACCGAGGGTGACAGACAGAGCTCGGTGTCCTCCAGAGCCACCCACTGCCGGAACTGAGAATTCCCCGTTTTTGTCTGAATAACACAGACCAAAAACTGTCTGGCTCTACAGACCACAAGAGGTGGAGATGCCCAGCTGCTCTCCGTGGTTTACTCCAGTGACTACACAGCCACACGGAATCCACTGTTTTTTTTGCTGACACGCTCCTCTGTAAATAACAAGACTGAGCTCTGAGCTTGCCTTGCTCTGATCTTTCACCTGAAACACTCCTTGCACACTCTGACACGCTGCAGCTCTCCACTGGAAGGCATTTTCCCCAGTCCCAAAGTCACGCAGATAAGARAATTATTATTTATTGGAGGATTTTCCTGGTAAGAGCCATTATTACCTCGAGCTTTTATCACGCTGTTAAGTTATTGAGCAACAGCTTAAGCTCCTTACTCAGGCAACTTGGAGGGAAAAAAGAGGGAGTTGGCATCCAGGGGTGTACTAGAAACTGAATTTAAAATAAAACATTGAGCAGCAAAATTCAGCACAGGATTCTTCCAGCCAGTTTGACTTCAATGTTAACAAAAGCAGCTGCACAGCCCTTACACAAACATTGCAGCATGAACACCCTGAACTCCCTGCACATTTTAGCAAATACGGCGAACCCAGAACCCGAGTGATTTTCTTTGGAACAGCCCGGGCTGAGGCTGTGCTGCAGGAAACAGGATTTCTGAGGGATGGGATGTCTGCTGATGGTTAACCACCAGGATGGCTGTGGGGTTTCACTTGGCCCGGAGATAAAACCCTCGATTCCAGCCTGCTCTGCTGCTCTGGGGCAGGACAGGGTATAAAGGCTGGACCCAGACTCCAACTCTGGGCTGGTTTGGCCACCCTCGAGAGGGCGAGCTCAGGAGGGCTGCTGGACACCGGGCAAACATCGCTGCTTCCCCCGATTGCAGCTCATGAGCAGCAGCAGCAGCACAGGACAGTGGGAGCCGTGTGAGCGCCGAGGGGGTGACCCAGGATGGTGGCCGGGGATGATGTGAGTCCCTGGTGGCCGGGACTGGTGGCTGGGGATGGTGGTCAGGGATGGTGGCCAGGGATGGTGGCCGGTGGAGGGGCAGTGGACACCAGGACAGGCACCCGAGCGGGGCTGGGCATGGCCTTGGGGTGGGACTGGAGGGCTCACACGGGACGTGGAGAGCCAGATCAGCCCGGCATTAACAGCGGAGAGGGAACCCCTGGGGCTGGAGTTGGTCATTGGCGTATTCCGACCGTCCATCCGTCCATCTGTCCATCCGTCCGTCTGTCCGTCCGTCCGTGGGTGTGCGGGGCAGCCACGCCTGCAGCGCCAGCCCAGACAGCCACAGCCGGGGCTCTGCGGTCTGACCGTGTGCCCAGTGTCCTGCACGGACACCGGGGGCGGCTGGCACGGGCTGGGGACACCGGGGAGGCGGCTGAAGTGTCCCCAGCTCAACCTGCCGCCTGCGGGACCCGGGCAGCGCCTCCCGGGCCGGGAGGGGACGGGACCCCGCCGCAGGGCTCCCCCGGTCCGGGGGATACTGAGCAGGAGCCGAGGGTCACACGGAGTGCCCCTGTCCCCGGGCGTTCCCCACATCACCCCAAAACACTTCAGCCAGCACCTCAGCAGCCTCTCGCTCCCTCCAGACGCTTTTCCCTGGGCAGACCCAGCAAAGAGAGGCGCCCACAGCCCGGCCCGTAAGCGAGGTGGCAAACCCAAAACAAGGTACCCGTGCCTGCTGCATCACCTCTGAGCCCTCAGCAGCCTCAGCAGCACAGGGCCACCCTCCTCGGGTGACAGGGATGAGATTGGTGTCACTCCCGGCACATCGGTGGCTGCTCCCAGCAGAGCACAGCAGCAGGGACGATGCTTTGCTCGGTCTCAGCACAAGCTGTGAGAGGGAAAGGGCTCCTGGAAGGGACAKWCAGGACCTGCTGCATCYYGGAGGGAAGGGGAAGCTCGGGGTGTGTGCATTTCCTCCGCTGCAAACAGCCTGGGGTGTCCTCTGGAGCAGCACATCCCCCAGATTTGGGGATTCCCTGCCCAGGGTGTTCTTYCCATCCAGCAATGGGGACAAAGGGCTCAGAGCCGGGACAGGAGGAGCTGGGATTTGTGGGATTTGTTCTGCTGCTCATGGTGGTGGCTGTGCTCTYTGTCCCACCCAGACAGGACACAGGGGCAGAACCTTCCTGGCAAAGCTGCTCTGGKGCTGCAGTGACTGCTGGAGCTGGAACTGCAATTAAGTTAATCACCGGATGGCCAAGGGCCGTGGGTGGGGGGTGGGACGGGCAGGAAGGTAATTAGAAAGTGGAGAATCTCTCGGGTTTCCTGTGTCCCCACGGACAGCGGCAGCTCGGTGGGGTGGTGCCCTGGCTGTCCCAGTGGGCTCAGAGCTCTGAAGAAGGGACAGGGACAGGGACGGGGACAGGGACAGGGAAAGGGACAGGGACAGGGACAGGGACAGGGACAGGGACAGGGACAGGGACAGGGCTTCCCCTTGGGCATCCCCTTGGGTTAACCCCATCCCTCCCGTGATGCTGATGGTGTTTGTCATCAGCCATTAGTGACATCCACTCAGGAATCTGTGAAAGTTTCATCTTTCCACCCCCTGTTTCCCCTGCCCCAAAGCCAGCGTGACGGAGGGGAATGAATGGCTGTATTTAGGGGGAGAGCAGGAGATGGTGACAGCAGGCATTAGTTAAATTGATTTCTGTGCTTTTGGTCACACTTCGTACAACATATTCCACTCGCAAAGGGTAAAACATGCCTGATAAATATTTCATTAMGCAGTTAATCACATTGCTAGAGATAAAAACACCTGCCATAAACAAGACTGGAAACGAGCCCACGCATTCCACTGATACTCACAGAGTGATCTATTACATATTTATCATATGCTTTGCCTAATCATTTATTAAGTCCTTCTAAGAGGATGTACAGTCCAAGGAATTCGAGCTGTGCCTTGCACTGCCAGCCCTTGCAGGCTGCCCATGCTGATGATAACCCCAGAGCCWCTGAGCTGCTGCTCCTGCAGCAACCAGAGCACAAAAAATCTCWAATCCTTTCCTGGATGAGGAAATCAACCCCATGCAATGCTTCTCTAAAATTTATAATGAATAAAATCCCTGTTTATCCGAGAGACATTTATTCCATGTGTCGAGGTAGTTCTCAGACTGCCCCAAAGCCCACAGGACTCCCCAGGAAAGGCAATTCAGAGCCTGAATGCCTTAAAAAATACTCGACCTGTTTTAAGTGCTTTCCATTCCCATGTGGAGTGTCTGAACTGGCTGGGAAGTGACTGTTCTGTCCAGGTGACTGCAGCCAGCAGTGGCAATGGGAAAGGAGCCCATCAGGAGGTGATGCTGTCTGATCCCAGCTGAGTCACACGGCCTGGAAGAAACAGGGTTTCTGCTTTAATGGAGAAAATAACACTTTCCAAAGTGAAACCAACTGGAGGGTTTCCACTGAGCTCACCAGAGCCAGGTTCAGGAGACGCTGATCTCATTAACTGMAGTCAGACAAAACCTCAGGAGGCTCCTGGGTTTAGCAGCTTCTCATCTCTCTGGAGCTGTCTGTGTGATCTTTAACTGATCATCAAAATGACAATAGTGATTAACTGCACTTTTCATCTCTGTGGCCGCACACAGATCCGGAACATTTCTTTCCAATCCTATATAAAGGATTGTGTCCAAAGCCAAGGACAATTTTGACGTATTTGAATCAATCCAATCTGGTTTTAACCCAGTAGATGAGATACTTGTGCTTTCCTCCATGTAGTAGCCACGTATTTCATACCTAAGAGAAAAAGGCTCACCTTAGCTGGCTGCCTCCTGGGTTGGGTCTTTGCTGGCCACTGAATTTGTGCCAGAGGAGTCGTTAAAAAAAAAAAAAAAACCTAAAATTTCCTGGCAATTCTGACATGCAAAAAGCATTTGAACCATTAGGAATCCCCCACATTTCCATCAACACCACCATCATGCAAACAAATGCTAAGCAGTGAAGTCTGCAGCATCTTTGAACCCGAGAGGAAAGGTCCCCAGTCMCGCTCACGCCTGTCACTAGCAGCACTACTAGCCCTCCATGCTCAGAGGCTCACAGAGTTTGGGATTGCACATCAAAGCCACTGGTTTGGCCAGTGATAAAGTTTGGAAGCAGCCCCAAACTTCTCAGAATTTCGCAGCTATTCCAGCCCCGCGCTGGGCTCCTGTCCCTCGGAGCTGTGGGGAGCCAGCCCAGTGCAGCCACCACGGCTCAGCAGGGCCTGGATCAAGCCAACATTTGTGTTTAAATCACTTCTTAAGTCTTTTTTGGGTTTTTTTTGGTTTTTTCTTCCCTCAGGAAGTGATTTCTGATCCTTTGGAATGCTCACATCTCCATCCAGGGCAGGGACAGGGTGCCCTCAGCTTCCCGTGCCGCAGTGGAGCTGGGGCTGTCCCGAGCAGGTGCCCTGAGTGCAGCTCCCAGGGATTCCTCCTCACAGGGTTTTTTTTTTTCTCAGGCAGCACAGCAAAGCTGTCACACGGGGCTGGAGGAAAGAGGAGCCACAAACACAGCTGCTCTTGGRCAAACAGCCTCCAGCTCAGCTCCCAGTCACCGTCCTGCTGTGGGGTCAGTGCTCGACAGCCATTCCCCTCCTCTTGGAATAGTTTCCTTCTCCATGGGGCACCAAATAACCACTGCAGTGTGGTGTCTCTCAGCTTTGCATTTTGGAGAGAGTTTCTGTTCTGCTTTGAGCTATTTAATAGCATTGTTGGGCTTTTACCCAAAGAAATAAGGCCCTTGATGTTGTCTTTGGTTCAGGTTCTCTCTCTCACTCGTGCTTTTTAATTCCCATAAAAACCCAACGTGTTCCTGCCAGAAGTGTAATAGTAGGGCCATGAGAGGTGGTGTTTGTAGAGGAACAGCTCCAYGGCCATAAAGTCTGAGAACAGTGATAGCTTTTAGCACGGGGAGACAACAGGAGTGGAAAAGTGTTCACTGAGCTTCGCTGGGGCAGTCAGGGCAGCTGGCGAGCATGGGAGCCTTCCTAAAAATAGCAAAAATAACCTCAAAAGAAATACGTGATGATGAAGCAGCTGTTGCCAGCTAAGCTGCTCTGCTCAAGCTATCTGGAGATGCCCCCAGAGCTCGAGGTGACTGTGAGGAGCATCCAGCCCACTCCTCAATCCTGGCAGCAGGGTTTGCCAAGATCCTGATCAGAGTCCTTGCATCTGGGATATTTGTGTCTCCATCATCAACCAGGAGACTTCTGAGTGCCTTTTACCCTCAGATAAAGGTTCAAGAAAAGCTTTGGTTCTAGGAAATGACCCAGTGCTGCTGCTTTTGATTGAAGCTCAGTGCAGGAGCAGAGCCCCGTGTGCCACCTTGGGGCTCTCCCTCAGAGAAAGGCAGCAGTTGGCAAGGAACACTCAACTGCTGCATCTAAAGTGTGATGTCTTGAGAGAAAAATAAATTTAGGGACCAGACACTTTAAGAAATAATTAATTTCTCCTGACAATGGTGTTAAAAAGGATTTTGGGTCTGCATTTGGCAGGGCCATCGCTWGCTTTGGAAAGCACCAGGAGGTACAGCATTTCTGAGGCTGCATCACCAACCTTGTGGCAACAGATGGGGCTGGCCTGTGCTGTCATTCCAAAAAGTCCTTCCCAAAATCCCAGGCTGGGTTAAATGGGGCATCTGAGAGCAAGGGCTGCAGTCATCCAATATCCCAYCCATCCCTGYCMTCTGGCAGTGTGACCCCATTCCCTCTGTYCTGTCCCTCCATTTCTTGACCAAAGCCCTTCTCCAGCTCTCCCGGAGCCCCTTTGGGCACTGGGATGCTGCTGGTMCATTCAGGGCATATCCTARACTCAAAATTCCCATTTTCCAYRTGTTATTGATCAGTGTCTGGGTGAATGCCCTGCTCTGCCCAAGCAGTGGAAGCTCCTGCCCCTGCTCATCTCCCACCACATCGAACGTGTGTCCTGACCTTTTCCACGTGTGCCCCTGGGCCAGGTGAGCTGCACAGTGCCAAGAGATGAGCAATATTTACTACCTGACACGGAGTGGGTGTYGCAATTCCTGCTCATAATTGTGTTTGAGAGTTATAATAGCGGAGAGAGAGTTATTACCTGGGCTCCCTTCCCGCCTCCTGCGGGTTCCAATCAGACGCTGGGTGTTTTTCAAACTCTTTTCTCAGTGTGTAATTTTAGCCCGTACGTCAATAGAAAGGAGAACAAAAACAGAATTCACGGTGATAAAATTAAAAGGACAGTTTTCTCCTGCCCAGCCCCACCCCGAGGGGACACAGCCCCCCGCCACCCCCMCGCCRGGGGAGCAGYGGCTCGGGGCTGTGTCACGGCTYTGTGAATCACCGGGACCCCCGGGYTCCCTCCCTCCCTCCCTGGCTGCCTTTAAAGCCTGGCAGCAGCTCGGTGTGCCCAGCACTCGGTGCCTGTCCCTTCTCTTTYAGCCCGGCCCCGGCAGAGGCTGCGCCATGGCCGAGGGGGAAATCACCACCTTCACCGCCCTGACGGAGAAATTCAACCTTCCCCCGGGCAACTACAAGAAACCYAAACTGCTGTACTGCAGCAACGGGGGGCACTTCCTGCGCATCCTCCCGGACGGCACCGTGGATGGCACCAGGGACCGCAGCGACGAGCACAGTGAGCGAACCCGGGGCTTTCTTGGGGCGCTCTTTGCTCCTGGGATTGCATCGCCTGGGGAGAGGGAGCTGGGGAGGACGGGCTTTGGACCAAGGTTTGTGGGAACACCCCTYCCAGGGGCCAAAAGTGCCTGTCAGGGGCCAAAAAACACCTGTAGCTACACAGAGCTGGAGCAGAGACATCCATTCACACTTCATTCAAACCAACCTAAATGTTGCTGTTACGAATCCTGGGGRAAAAAAGCTGCCAACGAGATGGGAACAATCACTGGGAAGAGCTGGAATTTGCAAGTCACSGTGACTGCAGCCACAGCCATTCCTMTKTCCCCATTCTCCATCCACAACCCACCAGATAACTCCAGCTGCTGCACACAGTTGATGGGATGCTTTGGATCAGGGGGTGCAGTGCAGGCATCTGCAGTCTGCCCATCACTGGCTTTGCTCTCAAAATACTTCTTCATATGTCACTGCTTAAGAGCCTTGTCAAACCACATGAGGAATTTGTAAATTAGAGCCAGAATTAAAACCCCAATCTCCTGTGTCCCATTCCAGCGTCATAACCAACAGGCTGCCCGTCCTTTGATGTAAAATAAGGGAAAAATTGGTCTTTGGTTCCTGAAGGATGGCTGYGGTGTTTCTTTGAAGAGGGTACAAGGAGACACTTTCAGTACACACTGTACTGTTTCCTGTAAACTCTTTATAAGCCAGGCTTCAGAACAAAACCCTCCACTAACCTTCCTAGCAGCTTCCCCCCTTTTCCTACTTTCCTCTGATTGTTGTTGTTTTGTTTTCCCTGCCAGTCCAGCTGCAGCTGAGTGCAGAGAGCGTGGGGGTGGTKCACATCAGGAGCACGCAGTCGGGGCAGTACCTGGCCATGGACCCCAACGGGCTGCTCTACGGCTCGGTAAGGGAGGATCCTGCAGGAGCACACAGGGCCAGGGCTGGGGCTGTGCACAAATCTCACAGCTCTGAGTAAGGCAAAGCACAGGAGAGAACCAGGCTCTGGTTGTGATTCTGGCAGCTGCACGGCCACTCTGCATCTGGCTTTATTTCGGGGGGAAATAAATAAATTACCAAATAATGCCATTTACTGCCCTGCCTCTGACAAATACTGTATTTCCTATCTGACACGTGATAAATATTGTGTTTGATATCTGGAGCAGCAGCTGCCACCTGCTGCTGCTGGGGGTGTTCCTGCCCGTGGCCAGGAACTCCATGATCTTTAAGGTCCCTTCCAACCCAAACCATTCTGTGGTTCTGTGCTCTGAGGCTGCAGCTGCCCCCACCCAGCTCAGAGCAGGAGCCCGGGCCAGGAGCAGCTTCTGGAGCACAGGMTGGGCTCAGTCACAGCCYCATAAAATWCCCAGGTCACRGRCAYCTTACRRCAGGAGTGGYCAGGGGACTCAGTCAAGGCCACTTRCCCCCACACTTCAAAYAYTTTTTTGCTTTRCTGGGGTGTGGAAATCTCRGAGGTGGGGCTGGGTGGCATCTTAGAGGGGAGAGCAGAGCTGGGATTGCCACATCAGGAACATCCCATGCCCAGGGCACCACCCGGCTCACTGTCCCTCTCCGGGCTCTCTTTCAGCAGTTACTGGGTGAGGAGTGTCTGTTCCTGGAGAGGCTCGAAGAGAACCATTACAACACCTACGTGTCCAAAATGCACGCCGACAAGAACTGGTTTGTGGGGCTGAAGAAGAACGGCAACAGCAAGCTGGGCCCGCGGACTCACTACGGCCAGAAGGCGATCCTGTTCCTGCCGCTGCCTGTCTCGGCCGACTGAGCCAGCCCAGGAGCTCCCAGACCACCCCAAAACCCAAAACCCAACTGCTGCTGCCTCCTTAGAGCTCCTCAGAGCTCCAGCCTTTAGGTCCAGGCTTTGCCCAATCTAGCCAAAGCAGAGCCTCTTCGCTCTGCACGAAGCTTTGCAGAGATGAGGGGATGAGCCCTGACAGCTCCCCAAGGTCCATGGGGCCCTCAGCCCCCTGCCCTCAGCCGTGTGCCAGTGTGTGCCCTGACCCTCAGCCACGTACCAGTGCGTGTCCTGACCCTCTGCTGTGTGCCAGTGTGTGTCCTGACCCTCAGCCATGTGCCAGTGTGTGCCATGACCCTCAGCCATGTGCCAGTGTGTGCCGTGACCCTCTGCTGTGTGCCAGTGTGTGCCATGACCCTCAGCCATGTGCCAGTGTGTGCCATGACCCTCTGCTGTGTGCCAGTGTGTGTCCTGACCCTCAGCTGTGTGCCAGTGTGTGTCCTGACCCTCAGCCATGTGCCAGTGTGTGCCATGACCCTCTGCTGTGTGCCAGTGTGTGTCCTGACCCTCAGCTGTGTGCCAGTGTGTGTCCTGACCCTCAGCCATGTGCCAGTGTGTGCCATGACCCTCTGCTGTGTGCCAGTGTGTGTCCTGACCCTCAGCCATGTGCCAGTGTGTGCCATGACCCTCTGCTGTGTGCCAGTGTGTGCCATGACCCTCTGCTGTGTGCCCTGACCTTCAGTTGTGTGTCCATGTGTGCCCTGACCCTCGGCTGTGTGCCCACGTGTGCCCTGGCCACGCTGCAGCTCCCAGGACCTGCCCAGGGCAGACACCCTGGAATGTGCCCGAGGCCACCCCGGCTCCCAGCTTTGTGTCCCCGGGCATCCCAAGGCAAACCTGCCTGGATTCCGTGTGCTGACGTATTTATCCATCTGAGAGTGCACCTCTGCCATGCCCTGGAGCAGCCCCAGATTGCAGCACCAGCCCCGTTAGCCAGGGCCAGCCTGGTGAGTGCCAGCCAGGCATGTGCAGCTGAACCAGGCAAAGCTCCAGCCCCAGCCTTGGCCTCCTCACCACGTCAGTAGTGCTGGATTTCATGCTAGTACCTGCCATGTGTTATTTGTATTTATTTATTAAGTAAATATGTCTCTTCTACAAGCTGTTCAGAAATAATTCCAGGCACTTTGATGCTGCCCCAGTGAGGACAGAGCAGTGACAGAGACTGCTGAGCATCGCACCCTTTCCCAGAGGGATTCCTCACACCACCTCTCTCTGGGTAAACGGGGCTCTAAAAATGGCACTGAGGCCCCTTGGGGCTCCCAAACCCTAAGTTTCTCCACTCCTGGCACAATGCAGATCCCTCGAGCAGCTCAAGAGCTGCTCCTGCCAGGTGGGAACATCACCACAACACCCCAGTGCCACACTCAGAGCATCCCCAGTCTCCCTGGAAAACCTGTGCCAGGGCCTCACCACCCTCACAGATTTTTCTCTCTAAATTGCCCCTCCTTCATCTTAAAGCTATTCCCCCTCGTCCTATCCTGCCACCAAGGACAGGGACAAGAGACCCAGCAAACCCAGGATCAGTCACCCTGCATGCAGGGAGCAATAAGAGGCTCTCTGCCTCACATATTTCTGCAGCAGCAATTAGCCACTAATTGCTACACTCTACAATTGCTCTGCTAATTGCTGCACTCCTGAACTTCTGCACTTGCTGTCTCCAAACCCTTCTCCCCAGCCCTGATAGCATCTCTGCAATCGCAGTGCCATGGCTGGGATGGAGCTGTGCCAGCTCCTGGTATTTCCCTGTGCCAGGACCCTTCGGTGCCGCTTCCCACCGTCGGGATCTGCGTGGAAAGCRGTGCAAAGGTGGATTCTGCCAATCCTGCAGGTCCCAGCTGCTCCTCTGGACCAAGAGAGGAACCCAATCACTGCTGCCAGCCCTGGCTCTGCTGCTCTGGGGGGCCCAGCACGATATTCCCGTGGCAAACACAACACTGGGCAAGGCAGAGGGATGTGCACAGACAACACCCACACCCTTCATAAACACTGTGGTCACTTCTCCTGTGAGAGGCTGGGCTGTCACTCAAGTCAAAAWGTGAATTCATGCATGAGCGGGAGTTCCAGGTTTCTAATTAAACGGGAAAGTTGGAACGTGTAATGCTGGATTTAGCTGCGCTGTCTCGCAACACCTCATTAACCCCGGGCACTCTCTCGTCAGGCTTGTGCCGCTCTGAAACCGCCCCCGCAGGTACGACTTGACACCCAGCTGGGCAAAAATGTCAACACCTGCTCTGAAAAATAATCCCCGGGGAAACCACAGTAATTGCTTCAGACAGATGGACAAGCCAGCATCGCCCSGAGAAACCAGGCTCACCTCGGGGTGTTTGTCCTCAGGGTGAGAGGGAAAAAAAGGAGAATTATAAGGTTTAATAAAAAYATTACACGAGAAGATCTTTCCCAGTGAGTGCCGGGAGCCCGAGTGTGCTGTGAGAGGGTTCCAGGCTGCAGGGCAGGGAGGCACGGCGCAATAAAGGAATGAATAAAGCAGGCTGCAGACGGGAATCCCGCCGGGATGCCCGGGAGATGGCGGTGCCGAGGCGCCGGGAGCGGGCATCCCCGGCAATGCCGCTGCCAGCAGGCGCAGCCGGCAGCGCCAACATCTGCCTCAGCATCTGGAGCACAAGCGGAGCGAGAGGAGCGCAGGGTCCCCCCCGAGCGGGGCTGTGCCCACCCCGGGGGGAGCAGGAAGGGGAGAGCGGGGTCGCGCTCCCGCAAAACCGCTCATCCCTCCGGGTGGAYTCTCCTTCCTCCTCCTCCTCTCGCCCCGCGGCTGCTCTGCCCATCAGACAGCGCTCGGCCCCGGCCCCAGGAGCCAAAGCAGCCCGAGCGAGGGAGAGTGGAACAGCCTGTTATTAACGGCTGGGAACCCATGGGAATCCAAGCAAAAGGAAAACTTGGGTTTTGCTGCTTTCCTGCGGCTGGCATTTTGGAAAGGCTGCCGGAGGACACACACGTCTCGGGACGGAGCTGTGGAACAGCGCTGGCCACCACGAGGCCGGGCTGTGCCCTCGGAGGCTGGGCAAGGACCGAGCGAGCCCCAGCCCAGCCCCAGCGATCCCCAGTGGCCGGGCAGTGCCCTCGGAGGCTGGGCAAGGACCGAGCGAGCCCCAGCCCAGCCCCAGCGATGCCCATCCCTGCAGCTCTCCCTGGCACTGGGGTGCCCACACCTCCACACACCCACCCTGGGCACCCTCTGCTGCACCCCAGAGCTCCTTCCCCACCGGCCCAAAAGCCTTCCTTGAACACAGGCAATTCCAAACCGCTTCAGGGTGTCCTGACTGACAGAGACACATCCATTCCCCCATGACTCTGCTTTTAGAGCCACGATCTGCAGAACTCCCCAGCTGCGGGGGGAGCTGGGGTAAGCCAGGGTAGCRGAACAGTGTAAATCTGTTCGTTCAAGAGGAGCGATTTCCATGAGGAAGGTGCCGTCGGGAAGAATGGAGGGATTTGCAGAGCAGAGCCTGCCAAGCCCGTGCCTCAGAGCATCCCCACGGCTCCTGCAGGCTGGGCTCTCTCAGCACGTGCAGCAATTTGTTCTGGCTCCTGAGGGCGGCTTGTGGCAAGTGCTAATCCCAGCTCCGGGGTCGAGCCCTCCGGAGAGRGGAGAGGCCCCCGCTCGTCCCGAGACACCGAGCATCCCAGAGCAGCAGCTTTGTGTAATCCCCACACAAAGAGGTGGTCCCTGCTAATGCCTTTACCTGCCTCATTCTCCCAGGCCCTTCCTGGCTCTCCGGCTTTTCCCTTCCCCACTGACTCGTGCKGCAGGAAACTCTGCTTCCCACATTGAGCAGATTGCCGGCAGCAGCGCCGGCARACGCGTTTATCCCGCTGAATTCCCGAGCCGTGACACCGCGGCGTTTCCGGGATATGAATGCTGTGTCACTCACATCCTTCCCTGCCCCATTTCCGGACATTTATCAATTCACTCCCCGAGGTACAGAGCGTTTTCAACCCCCCCTGGCTCCCAAAGTGCTTCCCCTGGGACCCTCTGTCACCACCAAACACCCAGAGGTGCCCTGGTKCTCGTGGTGACCCCCAGGACACCTCCCACCCCTGCCAGAGCCCAGCACAGCCACACGTCAGGGCATCCTTGGGGGTGGGAATGCTTGGGACACTCCCCAGCACCCCAAATTTACTGCTTTCTGCAGAAATTATCCCAACATGGGTTTCTCCTTTTGGAGAAGAGAAGGTGGGAAGCACATCCACACCCCCTGTGCCAAAGGAGCCAACCTCTGCATGTGCCACAATTAAAAAGGGTTTCTAAGCTCAGATTAGCAAATGCTGGCCTAATTTGGGAAGGAAGGGCTCTGTCASAGCACTGCTGGGCAGGACACTGGGCAGGAAAATCATTTCCAGGCACAGCCATAGAAGTTAAAACTCGTTAAGTCAGGCTGCAAGGTTTGTGCTCCTCAAGCTCAGGTCCCAGCCCTGCTCTCCAAGGACAGCTCCAGCTTTCCAATCCAAATCCAAGAGCAACCCAAAGCCATCTGAATCCAATCGCTGCTCACTCGAGCAGATCCCCCGTGTCACTGAGAACGGAAATTCAATATATGGGAAGAACTTGCAACAAAAAAAAAAAAATGAAATTCTGTTTATTTTCCTTGCAGGAGTTTGGCCTAAACCCTTTACTTTTGGAAAGAGAGTCAGTAACTCTGTCACTTCTTTTTTTACCCTCCTTTAATTACTTTTCTAACCTAAATGAGAAGCAAGAGGAAGGCTTGGGGCACTATCACAGCATCTTTGGCCAGATGTACCCTGGCCAAATGTGCAATTTCAAAACTAGACATTGCATAATGAATTATAACTAAACCACTGTTTTACCAGTTATCCTCAAAATCTGGACAGGCTTTCCCCAAATCAAAAGAAATTATAATTTTTACAGCCAAACGACCTGTCTAAGAAAGAGCTTGGGCAGGGCGCCCATAAGGATGTCAGCTGCCCTTGCAGATGCCTTTGTGCCCCAGGGAAAGGCACAGGGACGCTGTGCTGTGGTTTTAGCTCCACCAAACACGGCTGTGCTGGGTAGCTCAGCCCTCCCCAGGTCAGCCCTCAGCTCTCCGTGAGCGCTGAGCAGTTTACATCGTGCTAAGCCCATCTAGACCGGGAACCATTTCCTCCSGCTCAGCAGCCGCGCTGCTCCTGCCCGGCCCCGCT